TTATTGACTCATGTGTGTGTGATCTGAGAGCACCGTTTGATTTTGAGTGCAAGTGAAATGGTTTTGCAGTGATTGTTTGATTTTGATGGAAGAGTCAGAGGTTTCATGAATTTAGTTTGAGTATTTGGATTTGTGTTTAAGGTTTTGAGAAAATGAGTGATGGTTTCAAGAAATGTGTTTTAGCAATTCAGAAAAACTGTAACACAGAAGATTATTACTAGGCGATATCATCATCCACCACTACAACTGTTTATAGGAATGACACAATATGATGACATGCAAAACCTATAAAATGAAACAATGACTAAAATGTATATTATAAATGGGCAATAAAATGTCCTTCTCTTGTGTCACAGCAATGAAAGGAGAGGGTGACAGCCAACCTTGTTTTAACAATAAAAAGGACTGTTTTAACAATAACAGCTGACATAATGGCAAGAACTCATAGTTGTCAGAACTCAACTGGCTGAAATCATAGTTTCGAAAAAGAGATGATGTCATTCAACCATGTTTTTCAAGCTGATAAGGCAAGGGGTGCGATAAGGAGCAGCAATAAATCAGCACAACAGCAATTTAGGACGACACTTCCCAACCAGATTTTGTCTTATCTTTGTGATGCGTATAATTGTGGCAGCATTGTGCAGTTCTGTTGTACTTTTCATGCACATGATGAATTATTTGGCCAAATGGATACTGACCAACATTATAGAGAAACAACTCAAGACCAACGACAGAGAAATAATATTTTAGATGTCCTGTTGTATCTGTATATATTCATTCAGTACATGTGTGTTCTTCTTGCACACTTACACAGAATACAGCAAATCTTACTTTCACACAAGTCAAAGTCTATGCCAACTGTACTCTGTACTCGTTTGCAGGGAAAGAAAACCAGTTGAGCACTTCCACTGTTTTTCTGAGATATTTGAGCACCCAGTCTTTGACGTCTTGTCCTTGATGTGAGGTTACATATGAGCTTCGGTGGGTTGCTGGGGAAAATCCACTGCAATATGGCATGTAAAATTGTCTTGTTATGTCTTGATAAGACTTTTTCATATTTCTTAACCTGTCTGTTATGCAGTGGAAAATAAACACATTTTAAATGCGTTTTCTGCAGAAATATTTCTTTAGGCAAAAAGGAACGCAGGCCCTTTGGTATTCATGTCTCCTACAAAGACTCATTTTGATAGAGAGTGCACTGATGGCTTAATCTATAGGAATATAGTTTGGCTTTGCAGTGCCCTCTGGAATATACTGGCAGCCCTGCTTTTGTCTTTGTTCAAGCTAAGTGCTTAGCAAGTGTTATTGTTGGCTTGCTGTTCTGTTTCCCTCCCGTTTGAGGCCTGAGCTCTCTGCAGTGCCCCCAAACAAATACTGAGGGCCCAGCCTTTGTGAGAACCACTATGAACTACTGCCTAGAGAGGCACTAAACAGGTCTTAAATGAGCAGCTGGTGTGCTTTATTTTCTCAGGTGGACATAAATATAAGACAAATATTGTATTGGATAACCATGTTGCCAACTATTGGTTAACCATGATGCAACCGAATTAGCTCCTGGTGTGAACATTCATGTAAGCCAATGCCATTTTGCAAGTGATTATAAATGGTCATGTTTGGTTTATGATGCAAGGAAGAATCATTCAACTGTTCTGCTGTAACCACAAAAAAACCAAACAATCAAAAAACTTAGTTAGAACTAAATAGAGATATGACTATTGGATAAAGCAATGTTCTTATCCTAAAACAAATTTGATTTATAACGTTATTCTCTGTTGCTTAACCTATCAGCTTTAGGTAAAAGAATCGGTGCTCTTTTTTGGGAGTGGTTCTGTCTCTGTATGTTTATTTAAACACAGCTGCTGTTTGGGGAAAAGGACACTGACATCATAACAATGTTTGCCCAAATTGAACTAAAGAGGCCTGGTTCACGTCATAGAATTTTTCAAAATGATTGGAACAGTCATTCGGACATGGCAATAAACCAAATATGTATTTAGAACCAATGGCTGCGTCCAAAATGAGGCATAAGAGAGGAAATCTGTATTTATAGATTTTAATAGCTCATAAAAAGTGTATTCCACACACAATGGGAAATGTACCAAGCACACACTGACATCTTGTGGTGCATTATGGTAAAATGTCCTGCTGGGTTCTGAGTGGTTTATTTTGTATAGGGTTTTTATTTTTATTTTTGTATTTTATTAATTCATTTCGATTGTTTGTTTATTTGTTTATGTGGTTACAAGTGCATTTTTGTATATCTATGCTTTGTTATTTTATTTTATTTTATTTTTAGTGCTGAAAACCAAAAAACAAACCTGCAGGAAAAATGTCCTGAAGTAAGCTGTTACTTTTCTCATGGACAGTAAAGCATATTTTATTGTTTGCAAAACAACTCATGTCACACATTTTATATTAATAAATGTAGGCCTAATGCTGTAGATTTGCATATCAATAGTCTATTATAGCTGTCTTGATGTTTTCAGATATATTTCATATTATGAATGTCACACTTGTCACGCAACTGAATCTTGACTGAATTCTTACCGAACTCTAGATTAAAAATTTTGGCTTTGAACAAGGACATACTGTATGCAGAGGATTGAGAGCGTAGAAACATGAAGGATAGACACCAGGGGTCACTATTGGCATTTATTTTTTTCTCAAATACATTGTAAGATTTATTTCATACTCACTCACGACACCTGTTACTAAGAATTATTCAAAATGTTAGTGATAGTGGGCCTCAGAAAATACAATAGCATTCTATGGGTAAAAATCTGATTAGAGTTAAATCAAGTAAAAATTTGGTCACACTTTAGTTTGAGGACCAATTCTCACTATTAACTAACTATTAACTACGATTTTGCCTCAATAAACTCCTAATTTGCTGATTTTTAACTGTTAGTAATAAGTTAGTTGTTAAGTTTAGGTGTGGGGTAGGGTTAAGGGATCTAAAATATGGTCCTGCAGAATAAGGCATTAATATGTGTTTTATAAGTACTAATAAACAGCCACTATGCTAATATGATATTAAGCTACTAGTTAATAGTGAGAATTGTTCAAATAAGTGTTACCAAAAAGTATATTTTCAAATTAAAATCATTATTTGACCTATATAAAATATTTTAATTATTTTAATAATGATAATTGACAAATGTCACCCAAGTCTTTTAACTAAGCTTATCTTTAGCTAAGTAACTTACCACAGTAGTAGACTATGTAATTCTGCATTCAGCTAAGTAACTTACCACAGCAGTAGACAATGTACTTCTGCATTCATTGTTTCAGCATTGTTGTAAAATACTGTCCACATGGATCAGCGTTACTATTCTAGGGACTGTTGACGTTCTTTGTCACCTTTTGCATGGCACAAGTTCATTCATCTTTCAGCAAATGTCTGACATCATCTGAGTGTTCAGTCTACACAGAAACTGCAATCTGCAAAGCAACATAATGCTGACATGTCTTGGCAGTTCTGTAGCCAAAATTACTTTTCAAGATTTTTAGTTATAAGAGCATAGTGGCCAATCATTACCACCACTAAAGCTGTCATAAATCTACCCAGGACAAACGTGGCCACATCTGATCATGACAGTGGTTGGCTATTTTGTTGTGACCACATTACCACTGTTTTCTTGACTAGTTACAATGATGTGGCACAAGTTATGACCAAGGTAACCTGCATAATTATAGACCTAATTGTGGACTAAACTGGTCTGACTATTGGAGGGAGAATTTAGAAACAATAAAATTCTATGCCAGATCCATAAATCTCAAGGTCCTCTTGAAGCCCATTTTGTCACAACAAAATTTATTATGAAATTTGCTCAACATAGCTGTCAACAATGTGATATTAGAGCTTTGCTACATAAGCTACTAGGATATGTTTAAGTGCTCTGTTTACAGTTGTATCTGTCTATCTATCTATCTATCTATCTATCTATCTATCTATCTATCTATCTATCTACCTAGTGTCACCAGAGTTGGCATGTAAACAATTACACTATTGCTAAATCGTATAAAGTGCAGAAATATCATATAGGAAATAATGAATTAAATATATCTAAGTAAATAAAACAAATAGGCAAATAGATTACATAGAATAAAATTCAAAGGGAATTAATTTAGAAAATATTTAGAAATAGGATATTTAGAAAATATGGTTATGCGAAACAAAATCTGTCTATTTCTGATGATCAAAAACTAAAACTTACATTGTTCGCCCACCCTATAATGTGAAACGATGTGAATGTGGTACAACGCGAGGGCGGGCTTGTAGTACTGACGTCATCAGCTGGGTGTCTCTCGCCCGGCTTTGGGCTCCTGTCTCCTCTCTCTCTCCCTCCCTGTGAAGCGAACAGGGGGGAGAAGATCTTTAAAAAAAAAAAAGCCAGGAACGGTGACAGTGACAGCGGCTGCGGCTCCGGCGCCTGTGCGCGATCCTCCTTCTCAGTCACCGCCGACACTCGCACCGATGCGCGCGCTCACCCATCTCCACCAGACACCACCGCATCACACCACTGCGTCTGCAGTCTGAAATTTACCTCCCCCTTTTTTATTGTTGTAGTTGTTGAGCATCCGACATACGACCAACCATCGAGACGCAAACACTTTCATTTCAACCCTTCATCTGAATGACGGGCGGACGGTTCGACTTCGACGATGGCGGCACTTTCTGCGGTGGATGGGAGGACGGAAAAGCCCACGGACACGGCATCTGCACCGGCCCCAAGGGCCAGGGCGAATACTCCGGGTCCTGGTCCAACGGGTTTGAGGTAGTCGGGGTGTACACCTGGCCCAGTGGAAATACATACAATGGTTACTGGGCGCAGGGGAAACGGCACGGGCTCGGCATGGAGTCCAAGGGGAGGTGGCTGTACCGCGGGGAGTGGAGTCACGGATTTAAGGGTCGGTATGGGGTTCGCCAGAGTCTCAATACACCTGCCAGGTATGAAGGCACATGGAGCAATGGACTGCAAGATGGATATGGGGTCGAGACATACGGAGATGGGGGTGAGTGCAGCTAAACATCACTTGACCTATTTACTGTTCTTTAAAGTCTTGCGTGTATGTGATGCCGCTGCCGGGTGAAATAATGTCTCTGTTTTATTATACATCACTATAAAACAAATGGCTCTTATGAATAATATAAGGATACTTTTTTTTCTTCCATTTTAGTGAGGGATCAAACAAGATTGCGTCTGGTAGTGCTTGAGTTATTTCTAGTGCCTAGATTTTGCCCCTAAATAATTGGCTACAGATTTATGAAGCAGTTTGTCCATGCAGTTGAGTTGATGCATGGCATATAACTGGAGTGGTCAGCAGAAGTTGCTCACAGAGGGCATGGCTAATAATAGTTACATCTGCAACATGTCAAATCAAAGCTCTTCTAGCAGACTAGTAGACCAGAAGACAAGTTCTTGTCTCTGCTTATTTCTTTTGCACGAAATATTTGTGCTACATGAAAATTATGTGCTGTCATTTGTTGGAAGTTAAATCGTAAAATGGAGATATTTAAAAATGTGTATTGTCCACCTGTTAATTTAATTCACTTGTTCCTACAGTGTACAGTGTACAATTTGGGGATAGTTCTCCCAAAAATGAATGTCATTATTTACTCACCCTCATGTCGAACCAACCCTGTATGAATTTCTTTCTTCTGCTGAGAAGATATTTTGAAGAATTTGGGAAAATGTCTGTAATGTGGGTAACCAGACAATTGATGGTATTGGCTTCCATAGTATATTTTCATGCTATGGAAGTCAATGGCTTCCATCAACATTCGTAAAAATGTCTTATTTTGTGTTCAACTCAACAGAAGAAAAAATCTCATACAGGTTTGGAACAACTCAAGGATGAGGGAGGACAGGATTTAAATTTTTGGGTGAACTATCACTTTAAAATACAGTGACCATGTTTCACACATTAAAAGTGACATTTTGGTGCCTATATATTTTACAGGTTATAAGCATACTCTATATATCATTAATTAATATAATGTTAATATACAAATGCACTTTTGTATCAGTGGTAAAATAAAAGGCCACAAGGTGAATTTAAATGAATTAAAAATAATTCTATTAACTAATCAACATAGGAGCCATAATGTATTGCCTTGTTAAACATAATACATGTTTACACTGTATATTTTATATATAGGCCTATATACTGTATATATGCACTCACTCACTCACTCACACGCACACACACACACACACACACACACACACATATATATATATATATATATATAATATCTTTAAAATACTGAAAGATATATAGTCAAAACTGATTAGCTTATATTAAGATTTTTTTTATTAAATGTAACTAAACTACAAAGTGATTAAACAGCACCACTATTCAAATAATTTTTAGATTGCGTAGTAATATATTATGAAGTCTTTTAAGAAGAAATTTAAATCCGAGGTAAATTGATATTTGGCAAGGACCTACTGTCGAATTTATGAGGCAGGGTCACACATTACCGCTTACTCATAACTCACTTTCTTCTTCTGCAAAGAATCCTGAAAATAGGCTCTTTTGCACTCTGTATATCATAAGTCACTTCTATTCTGCCTGTTTACCTATTATTGGAATATTAGCTTCTCAGCATTACTGCTGTAGAGACAATGACATATGCAGAATCATAAGGAATGAGTGGATACATAGGTAAATAAATAAGAGTTATGGTTGGCTGGAGTCACAAACTTCACAACGGCTCAGATTACTTCCATGTTTTAAAATAGTGCTAGCTCTGCTGTTGAAGCTGTTAGGTCTGACAGGCCAGCATATGAGATATAGAAGGGAGAGCTGTTAACTTCGTCATAATGCGGATAGGATTACACCTGTATATTACTAGCCTGACAATAATTTATTCAGTTATAATCTGGTGTTATTTTATTTATGCATTTGAACACTTTGTATATTTGCTGAAGGTCAGATTAAAAAACTTTTCACCTAGATTATGACTATAGCACCAGCATTATATATCTATATTATATCTGTATCGAATAGTGAGGACATACAAAACAGTTCAAATGTTTGGGGTCAGTTATTTATTTGTTTATTTTGACAGAAATGAATAACAGTGACAGTAAAGACATTTACAATGTTACAAAAGATTTCTATTTCAAATAAATACTGTACTTTTAAACTTTCTATTCATCAAAGAATCACGGTTTCCATAAAAATATTAAGCGGCAAAACTGTTTTAACATTGGTGATAAATAATAATAAGAAATGTTTCTTGTGCACCAAATCAGCATATAAAGATGATTTCTGAAGGATCATGTGACACTGAACAATGGAGTAATGGCTGCTGAATATTCGGCCTTTCCATTGCATGAATAAATTACATTTTCAAATATATTATAAACAGAAAACACTTACTTCAAATTGTAATAATATTTCACAATATTACTGTTTTATTGTATTTTTTTTATCAAATAAATGCAGCCGTGATGAGCATAAGTGACTTCTTTCAAAAACAATATCTTACCGACTCCAAACTTGTGAACAGTATTGTGTTTTGAAAGATTCTAATCTTGGTTCCTGATGGTAAATTGTTTTTGAAGTGATTTGTTACTAAGTGGATGTTTCCATCCAGCAAACTGTCTTTATTGTTAAATTCAGCCTTTTAATAGAATAAATGATATTAGGATATCATTTAAGAAGTTTGATTACTGATACTGTTTTTAGTATTCATGGAATGCAAAAAAATAAAGAAATAAAATATAAATAATAATGAATAAATTATCATTTAAATAATCCTTTTATATTAATTATTGAAATGAATCCATCATTTAATCTAATTAGCTTGGAAATATTGTAACACCTCAATAAAAAAATTCTAAGCATTGCTTAAAAAACATCAAAGCACCCTGACGTGAGTTCCTATGGTGTTTTCTTTTTTTATATAATCCCTGTATTATGTGTTATGCAATATCTAGACTAAAGTCTCTCTAATCCCTTTGCCAGGTACGTACCAGGGCCAGTGGATGGGCGGCATGCGACACGGCTATGGCGTACGTCAGAGCGTGCCTTACGGCATGGCCACTGTCATCCGCTCCCCGCTGCGTACCTCACTGGCCTCCCTCCGCAGCGAGCAGAGTAACGGCTCCGTACTTCACGACCACATGTCCGACAGCCCCGCTGGCACCCGGGGCGGCTTTGTCCTGAACTTCCACAGCGACAGCGAAGTGGGCTCCAGCAAAAAAAAGGGCCTTTTCAGACGGGGTTCGCTGTTCGGGAGCCTCAAGCAGCTGAGGAAGTCAGACTCCCGTTCTTCCATATCCAGCAAGCGCAGTTCAGCACGAAGTGACGCCACCATGAGCCGCATCAGCTCTAGCGACGCAAACTCCACCATTAGTTTTGGGGATGGAGAAGTGGCCGACGAGTACATGCCGGCTGAGGACAATGTCGATGCCACCACCACCGAGTCGTACATGGGCGAGTGGAAGAATGACAAGCGGAATGGTTTCGGTGTCAGCGAGCGCTCCAATGGGATGAAATACGAAGGCGAGTGGATAAACAACAAACGCCACGGCTACGGGTGCACGATATTCCCTGATGGGACGAAAGAAGAGGGGAAGTACAAAAATAACGTTTTGGTGCGTGGCATCAAGAAGCAGCTTATTCCCCTCAAGAACACCAAAACGAAGCAAAAAGTGGACCGTGCCGTTGAAGGAGCCATAAGAGCGTCTGCCATTGCCCGAACAAAAGTAGAAATTGCCACCTCAAGGTTAATACTTCCTCCAGATCAATCCTACACCACACAATCAATTGCATCTTAAAGGTCTAATTACTACAAGATTTATCTCACTCTCTTTCTAAACTCTTTCTTTCTTTACTTGCACATAAAACATACGTTTTCTTCATCTAACCAACAGTATTGCTCACAATAATTACATTACTCCAACCAACATAGCACCTGCATGCTGTATCCCCAGCTGTACAGGAGTTGAAGGCTGCTCATTCCCCCTCATACGAATGAGTGAAACGCGGCAGGGAGGAGACCAGGCAAACAGCTATTGTGCAGAAGAGCCCCATTGAATAGTCTGTTTGCATAAGTGCCATCACATGCCCCCCGGCCATAGCTCTCATACTGACCACATAATCAATGCAGGGCCAACAGGATGTCCTGAATGAAGTCACAGAGGAGTCGGGGTGCCAGTTGTCATGTTTATAATCATTTAAACATTTTTAGAGGAGAAATTGTGTGATACTTTTATGCAATACTGCTCATTACGACAATTACAAGGCCTATATGTTCCTAAGAGAGGTTAAGAATAGATGTGTATAGCTCAAAGGAGATACTTATGTAATTTTGGTGGTATGTGTAAATCAAATGGCAAATGCGTTTGCAAAGGCGAAGCTGCTTCATTCCTCTGGGATTGAATTACCATCAGTTCTTCTTTTTATATCTGTTATCTATAACACATAATTATCGATTAAGTCACACATGGAATTGTGGAGGAAATGTTCGATATTGTTTTCTAAATACAACAACAGGTTTTCCCACTCATTCATTTCTTTACTCTTGTAATTCATCAACACAGCTGGCTAAAATCGATTTTTGCAAGTTGAAGCAGGTTGTGAAGATCAGAGTGTTAAACAGGGACTCAGTAATGTTGTGTGAGCTGAGTGGTACCTCTGATTCATGTAAGGACATGTGAGCCTATAGGCTAGTGCTAGTGCTGGTATAAAGTACTGGTGTTGAAGCAGATTCTGAAGTAGGAGAAATTTCTCACTTGTTTAGTATTAATGTCTTCAATTTGAGACACACATGTAGTTATTCATTTTTGTTCCTCAGACCTTTCTTCCTCTCACAACATGCATCAGAGAGTAGTAAGGATGCTAAAAATGAAACTTATGTCATCATTTACTCACTTCACGTTGTTCCAAACTTTTATGACTTCCGTGGAATACGAAAATTTGAATGTATATATTAATATAGAATATCCTGCCCATGCTTTTCAATGTGAGTGAATGAGGACTGATGCTGTCAAGCTTCAAAATGGCAAAAAAGCATCATAAAAATATCATAAAAGTGGTCCATATGACTTGAATGCTGAAAATCTTTCCTGGCTGTTTTCTTCTGAGTTCAGTAGCGATATCAGATTTGTGAATGAATCATTCTTTTCAACCAAGCAGTTTATTCTGTTCAGAAAACAGATCTGAATGATTCAGTTTAATGAATCGGACTGATCTGGTTCTCGATTTCAGCTCGCTTAATCATTGATCTGATCTCAGTGGTTAACAACTCACTGATGATTATCAGTGAATAATTAGCTAAATTTCAGTCTGTTCATCAAACAAAGCTATTGTAAAACTTTATCTGAATCATTTTTGTGATGCTTTTAAGCTTTTAAAAGCTTGAAAGCTCCAGTCTTTATTCCTTGTAATTTCAGGAGTGACCTCCTTACTCCGTTATTCTTGCTTTTGTGTTCTACGAAAGAAAGTCAAGTGAAATGTAAATAGTGATTAAATAATGGCACAGTGTTCATTTTTGGGGTTGAACTATCTTTTATTTAGCGTTTCGTTATTGTGTTTTTCATGTGCAGGTTTATGTATTTAGGGCTTTTTACTTAAGAAGCCCTAACTTGAATGTTTTCCTTTGCTCTATTAATGCAGTTATTTACTTCTTTTTTTTTCGGTACAAAAACCATGTCCTTGTCCTGTTCATTCATTACCATGTGCTTCTTTCTGATAGCTAAAAGAGTATGAATTTTAATGAAAGCTGCTATAATGAGGCTTGCACAGTCCATGTAGCTAATGAAATAGTAATATGTCCCAGAGCTGCTGGATGAATTAAATATCTCTCAGTGCCTTTGAAGATTGTTACTCAGAGAAGTGATAAGCACTGTGAGGGTTCAGGGAATGTGTGGAGAGTCTGAGAAGGCTTTGGATTGACTTGAAGGAGTCTTGAAAAGAGAGAGAGAGAGAGGGTTCTCAGGCCTGTGCTCTCTCACACATGTGTGCACTGTGTGTCAGCACTGAGCCTGACTAAATAAGGCAAGGCAGGAGTTGGCTTCTCAATCGGTGACAAGAATATAGTCTTGCAGCCGTCACTGATACAGTAGCCAGTCCGCGTCCTGTTATCATCTGTTAGAGCACTCAGGTTTAGAGCCACTTGTATCCTTTCGGCACGGACTTTCTTTTTACCATGGCAATAATAATTCCTTCCAAAATGTTAGAGTTGCTACAATTATTGTACATTATAAATGGGATCTCTATACAAGAATATCTTTGTCATTTTATTTCATACTTTTTTAATGAAAGTGGTGAGGAGACTGTAAAAACTATGATATTTTGGTGGAAACAATTCTTACCATAGATCATTTTTTGTAAAAGACTTTGTAAAAAGTTGATTTCATATGAGAGATTTATGTATCCTGCGACTCTCTAGATCTGGTCAAGGCTTTAATGGATAGGATTGCCTGAATAGATTAACCATCTTTCTTAATCTTCTGTTTGTCCTCAGGAACAGTTTATGTAGAGGATTGTTTCTTCTATGGCAATCTGCTTTATACACCGCGTGTAGTGATTTGTTGATTGCAAAATAATTTGATGCTAACAAGTTTCCATAGGCATACTTACTTTTATTTGACTTATTTGTCCCTGAATTATATTTTAGGTTCATCCCTTTTTTTTTTTGGTATTATTCCTGTCCATTTTATGTGTTTTAGGCTGGCAAAGTCAAAATTGTATAACTGAAGTGAAATATCACGCACCAGTGAAATGCTGTAATTCATAGACATGGAAATGCAAACAGTCCATTAGCGGACTGCAGGCCATGGCAAAAAAATGCTTTACACATATCGCAGATTTCCTATTTCACGGCTGTGCTTTGTTCCAGTTTGATAAATATGGAATTTGCACTGAATTTAACTAAAGCAAAATTATTAGGTTAATCATGCTTAAATATTTTTAGTGATTTGCAGCCCTAGAGTGTTTATATTAATTATCAATGTAGTCTGAAAACATCATATAAACTAGCAGCATAAGAATACAGACAGAAATGTGTATATGTAAAGGCTAACTGGACAGATCAGAAACAAGACACGTGTTGAGTTGCTATAGGCTCAAGCGAGGAGGATGTGCTCCTCTTCACATCTTCATTTGAGCTCTTGTGTGTGATAGAGTGGGCGAATGTGAGGACACACTGCCAATTTAAAACCCTCAGAATTTCTGCAAGTGCTCCATCTGTCGCCTAGGAGATGTTCTTTGGCTCAGACTCCAAAGAATATCACATTAGGTCCATTAACGCCTGGGGAAGGTGCTGCTTATTACTTGGCTGACAAATAGTACGTAGATGCTCTCTTAATATTGTTAATATTATATATGCCTTGTGTGTTTGAAATTCTAATCAGCAGTATAGATATCTTTTAATGTTTATTGCATTCAGAGTCAGGGACAGTTCACTCAAAAATAGCATTTTTACTCACCTTCATGTTATTTCAAACCCATATGCTGTTTTTTTTTCCGGTGCAACACAAAAATCACCATAAAAATAGTCTGTCTAATTTGTGTATTCCAAGTATTCTGAGGTCATACAGAAGTTTTATGTTATGAACAGACTGAAGTAAAATTTCACTGATGATTTTGACCACTTCTTTATAGAAAACAAATAACTTTTGCAGATTTCATTTTTGGGTGAACTATCCCTTTAAGAGGAATCATTTCACAATGCAAAGTTTGGAGTCTGAAAGTTGTTTTAATGTTTTTGAAGGAAGTCTCGTATGTTCATATATATGATCAAAAATACAGTAATATTGTGAAATATTATTACAATTTAATAGAACTGTTTTCTATTTTAATATATTTTAAAATGCTATTTATTTCTGTAGTGGCAAAGCTGAATTTTCAGCATCATTACTCCAGTCTTCAGTGTCACATGATTTTTCAGAAATCATTCTAATATTCTGATTTAAACCTCAAGACACATTTCTTATCATCAATGTAAAATTCTTTACTGTTGCTTTTGATCAATTTAATGCATCCCTGCTGAATAAAATTATATATAAAAAAACTTATACTGGCCCCAAACTTTTGAACAGTAGTATAACTGTAGCTCTTGAGACCCATTTGTGACAGGTTTCATTTAGATCTGTGGTGGCTACCGTGAGCTAGATGGATCTCCTCAGGAGCTGATCTGTGCTAGGCTGGTTTGGACTGAACCATAATAAAGCATCAATCCCAAACACCTGACACTCAGTATTTGTGTTAGTGCAATCACATCATGACATGACTCTCTAAATCAAGCTTACAGTATATCTTCCTCCTATTTAAGGTTTCATTTATCACCATTATTGCAATTCTCAGCAGAGGACCAAGTATACTGTAGTATACTGTACTAAGTATATACAGTGCAGATCTTATTACTTGAGGTTTGTTTTTTAGAAGGAAAAGAGAAAGCTAGTTTAATTCATTCAAACAGAGCTTTAGATTCAATTTCATTTATTCGCATAGCTCTTCTTAGAATGTGATGAATACAAAGCTCCTCCCCACAGTTAAAGACCATGATCCCTTAAAAGCAAGCTTAGCTTAACAGTTGTAATGTGGATGGACTTCGAAAGATACTTTGTCTGGAATGTTTCATGACAGCCGGCTAACACTTATGACTTCATTCATAGTAAGACTACATGGCCTTGTGCAAAGAGGATAAAAAAATTAATGGTTAAATGTTTAACAAATAATGAGGGAGGAGAAAGCACTGATATTCATATTTTACTCTGCATATGTGATGGGAATTTTATTAAGAAGGTCACTGGCTAAAAGGAGAACAGTGTAGTTTTACTGATAGGAGTAAACCTACAAAAATGTTCACACTGTATTAATTGTTAAATGTAAAACAAACTAAAATTAGGTTTGGATGGCCTTCCAGTGCTCATGGCACTGCGTATCTGTTTTTAAATATATGAAGTTACACTGTATAACTTATACTGTAACATACATGTATACAGAACTCTCTCTTTACTCACTCATCCATGTGTACATCCTCTTAAAAAGTGTTCATCCAATGGGTTATTTAAAGGAGACATATTATGCCCCTTTTTACAATATGTAATATAAGTCTCTGGTGTCCCCAGAATGTGTCTGTGAAGTTTCAGCTCAAAATACTCCACAGATAATTTATTATATCATTTTAAAAATGCCTATTTTGAGTGGAAGCAGAAA